TGTGATGAAACCCCCTGTCGTCTCCTGCGCATTATCTCCAAGGAGGAATTACATGGGATTTGGGACTCCTTTTGAAATGCGTCCATCTAATTTCCTAGGAAGGAAAGCTCCATGAGCCCTCTTCTCAGCTACCCCTTTCCCAAGGTCCACAGGCGATTGGATTCAAGATGCGGGTGACTAATTAGAACCTCCCTTGATTTTTCCTACGCATGACCCCAAGGCACCCACTACATGACCCCCGGCAAGCTGCGTTGGCTACAAGGCTGTATTTTTAGCTGGGGTTGAGAAAAACATGAGATTTGGATGAAACTGTTCAGCCAGGAGGCTGTGATGTCCCCATCTCTCCCCTCAACCTCTCCTTTGTTTGCCAGTTGTCTCTGCTTTCCTGATGCTTGCCCTCTCCCCGATTCCTGTCCTCCTCCTGCTCCTCCAGGCCTGGGCCTGTGTGTGTGTGTGTGTGTGTGTGTGTGTATGAGGACTCGGGTAGGGGTGTGTGTGTGGGGGGTGCTGCAGAGCAAGGCAGCCATGCTGCATTTCTGGTTGCTCATTGTTCAGTCTCCGTCTCCATGGCGACGGGAGCAGCTGCTCCATTCTGGGCCTTGGCTTGGCTGTGCAGGGCGGCCCACCCGCCTGTCTGCCCGCCTGTCCGCCTGCCCAGCCGTGGGAGCTGCCAGCTCCTCGCCCTCCCGCTGCCCACAGGCCCTGCCAGGCTGGGCGCAAGAAAGCGTGTTTACTAACACCATCCACACGGCTCCCTGGGCACTGCAGCTCTGCCCAGAAGATGTCAGGCCGAGGGCACCGGGAGGTGGGCCTGGAGCCAGGCTGTCTGCAGCCTAGGGAAAACTGCCCTGGCCGGCTGCTGCCCTGCCCTGCCAGCGAGCCAGGCTGGCGGCTCCCAGCCTCAAGGCATAGCCGCAGGCCTGCACGCGGTGGTCCCCATGAGGCCTCCCTAAAGTTTTCTTGCCCCTTCCTTGAATGCTTTCCTGGAACTTCCAGGGTTTTCCTGGCAGCGAGCTTTGCTCTCACTGATGTTTTTATCAGGAAGACTGCTTTCTGCTGACCACTCTGTCCTCGGCGGCTTGAGCTCTGACCATTGACGTGGGAATCACTCACACCCCTAAACCATTACAGGGTTGACATGACCTCCCAGACGTCGGAGACCAAGGGCCTCACTTTAGCGTTGGAGAAAATGAGGACCTGAGTCAGACAGAGGCTCATGGAGATCACAGGTGGTGTCTGAGTGCACCCTGCCCCGGTCCTGCCCTGTTACCTTTCAGTCCTAAACACTTGCACTGTCTTCTCCAGGCTAGGCTTGGCTTCAGCCTAAACCCCTCGAGCTGCAGTCTCTCTGGGTCCTGTCCTCTCCTCCTTCCTTCCTCCTTTCTTTCATCATCTGGTTCCTTCTCCCCTCTCACTCTCTGCCTTCCCATCACCCTCCTGCCCCTGCTATCCTGCCGTTTCTTCAGTGAGGCCTAGGGGCTGTGTGTGTGTGTTGCCTTCTACAAAGTAAAGGGGAAAAATTCCCTGCAGAATTTCACCCTTCACACCTAGGCCAGGGCTGGGGTCTCTGATTGACAAGTTACCCAAAGCTGAGTCTGAACATATCAGAACACAGGCTAGATAGCCTTGCCCTTCAGCCTGTTTCATCTCTACAACTCCTCCAGGCTCCTCCGCCAACGCAGGCTGCATCACACAAATGGGAGGATATATATATATATACTTTGCTCCATATATATATATGCTTTGCTCCATGTGCCTGCTGCCCTCTGAATAAAAATCGCTCCTACCCGTGGGCTGGTCACACTTCCTCATCTCTCGCCTTTATTTCCTTAGGAATTCTGAGTAAAGTGGAACTCTGAGAGCTACGTAGAGCTAGGTGCAAACACGGAGAGTTTCCCCACTTACTCAGTGGGTTAGTCTTGGTAGACTGGAGAAACAAATTCATAGACACTCATCTGTGTATAAGAAAGAGGTTTAAAAAAAAAAGAAAGAGGTTTATGTACAAGAGCAATTGAATATTGAGAAGACATCCCAGCCCAGTCTAGATCAAGTCCATAAGTCCGATATTAGCCCATATGTCCCATACCAGTCTATAAGTTCCTCTTCACACTCACACAACACATGCAGTGATGCCAAATGCAGGAAGATCACAAGCCAGTGGGTGGGAAGTCTTGTGGGTCCAGTGGCATTATAAGCATCTCAGCACTGGCCGGGGTCTCCACATGGCTTCTCCTGCTCCAGAGGTCTGACTCCATCAGCCTCTCTCCATGTATCTACTCCACAGGGATGTCTCGCAGGGAATGAGCATCAGAGAGAGAGTGTGTGTCCCGCCTCTAAGGAGGAAATAAAGGAGTTCCCAGAATCCTCAGGAGAAGTGCATGCCCACACAGAGGCCTCATTGGCTATATCCCAACTGATAGGTTAGACTCTACCTTTACACTCTTAATCCTCAAATTGACACCAGATTATGTAACTACCACACTCAGTAAGTATCTCTTCAGTCCCTGGCTAGCACTAGGAATCAGGAGATGGACCAGTGAGAACCCGGCCTTGATAAAAATCACTCTTCTTTTGTACACTTCACCCAGGTACCTGCCCCACTTAGTGCACACACGTTCACTGAGCCCCAATGTTTCCCTTCAGGCTGCTGTGGTTTTTAGGTGCCATAAAGTTGGTTCCACCTCACAGGGGCCCTGTGGGTGTCCCACCGAACCAAGCACAGACCGATCCTGTGCCGCCCTCGGAATCCTTGCCATGTTGGGGCCCATGGTCGAAGTCATGGTGCCAGGCCACCTCCTGGAGGTCCCACCTCTTTTTCATTGACTCGCCTCTTTGCCACTTGAAGGTCCTAAGGCCCACCTTCCTCTCCTCCTCTGTTCTGCCTGGAAGGAAAGGATCAGACCTGTGGTTTGCGTGCCACGGTAGATGAATTCAAGAGGTGTTATTGTCCTCTCAGGGTTTTGCACTTCAAGTCTGTCATGGTTGTGGGATGAGAGCTTGCCTGTGTCTCCAAGAAAATAGATCTCAGGCCTAACCAGGGATATGCAGGTGTGTATTTTGCAGGTTTTTCTGGATTCACACTTGGCCGCCTACAATCCCGTTGAGGCCAGCTGGGTGACAGCCTTGGGACTGGGGCAGGTCTGTTTTAATCATTCCTTCCACATCAACCGAAAAGAAATGAAAACATGGGAAAGAAATGAAAACCCAAACAAACCCTCTGCTGTTGAATTGATTCTGATTCCTGGCGATCCCCGGGGTCACCCAGTAGATCCCTTCCAGACTGTGCTGTTGGTTGTAATCTTTCAGGAAGCAGCCTTCCAGGCCTTATTTCTGTCAAGTTGCTGGGTAAGTTCCCACGGTCAACCTTTAGATGAACAGGTGAGAGTAAACCCTTTGGCCACCCAGGGACCTTCACCACACACCAGGCACAGGATTAAATGCCTTTCCCAAGAGCTCTTTCACTTAATCACCACGGATCCCTTTGAGGTAGAAAAGGGAACCTCAATTTGCAGATGGAAACCTGAGATTCTGGTTGTTTAAGGATTACCCAGCTATGGGCCACAACCAAACTCAATTCAACGGATAGTTTTCTCTTTTCCCTGTGTCCTCCTGCCTTACATGAGTTGGCAGTGTCCCCTCTAAAACCATAGTCCTCGGCACCAGCTATTCTTTGTGGGTACAGCAAGGATGCCCAAAGTCAAAAGTCCCATCTCCAGTCAGGCTACCAGTGTTTGCCCAGTCTCCCTTCTCGCCTGCTTTGAGCTTATTTCTTAATATAATTGTCAGAAGAAGGGTCCAAAAATGTAAGTTCCCGAAGCAAAAAGGAGAAACAAGAAAAAAAGAACACACACACATTATAAATAATAACATGCCAGCATACTTCATTTGATCCCACGTATGCAAAATTATGCATAGGGTTTTCAGTGATGATTTCCTCCACTGTGGGCAGCTGATTCCTTCTTCATAGTCCGTTCTTAGTGTGGAGACTCCGCTGAAACTGTTCCCTTCGGGTGACGCTGCTGGCACTTGAAATACCAGTGACCTGGCTTCCAGCATCACGGCAACCCACAAGCCCCACGTCTGACAAAATGACAGACAATGCTCAAGGGAGCAGCAGTGTAGCTATCAGAAGGTGAGTTGCAGGGGCACCTCTGCTGCTCAAGACCTATGAAAGACTATTGAAAAGCAATAGAGTCTTGAGGACTCAGGTGCCACCGACTCAAGCTATGACCTTTTCAATGGCCGCCTATGCATGGAAAGTTGGACAAGGAATAAGAAAGACCGGAGAAGAATCGATGGGTTTGAACTGTGGTGCTGGGGAAGGTGATGGAAAGCACCATAGGACGCTAAAAGGACCAACACACCTGTCTCAGAAGAAGCATGTCCAGAGTGCTCCTGCGAGGCAAAGATAGGGAGACTGTCATTGGATGTGTTGTCAGGAGAGATTGGTCTCTGAAGAAGGACATCTTGCTTGGTCTTTTCAAGTAGAGGGGCAGCAACAGAGAGCAAGGTTTGACACAGTAGCTGCAACAATGGGCTCAAACATAGGAATCATTGTGAAGATGGTGCTAGACAAAGCAGTGTCTTGTTGTGCTTTGCAGAGGGTTGCTGTGGGTCATTAACGACTCAATAGCACAAACAACACAATTATATATGTGTGTGCGTATATTCCCAAAGATGTGTGTGTGTGTGAGAGAGAGAGAGAGAGAGAGAGCTGAAGCTAGAAGAAGAGATAGAGATATATTATAGAGATGCCATTAATATATGACTAGATAAACTAACTCACTGACTAATATGCAAACCAGCCAGCCCCCATGTGTGTGCTTTTATGCCATGGATGTTGACATACAAGAGAACATTGTGGAAGAAGGCATTCCAGTCTGTTAACAGCAGTCATCTGACATGGGAGGTGAGTAATGGAGAGGGATTTAGAAAATATTTTTCTTCATGGGAGAGGGGGAGGTGGCAGAAAGGCAGTGGTATTAACAAACCCAGGGACAATACTCTGGTTTCTCTTCAGATCGTATAAACCTTTCGCCTTTTACTAAAGATTTCTGTGGAGAGGAACAATTCTGAGTCATAAACTATTTTTTTTGAGGTCTTGCATTTGCAAGGCTTACAAAAAAACAAAAAACACCAACAAAAAAAACCAAACCCAGGGACAAGGGAACAACAAGTGATCCAAATCAATGGTGAGGCGGGTGTATGAGGCCTGATAGAGCGTGATCAAGGGTAATGTAACCAAGAGGAATTACTGAAACCCAAATGAAGACTGAGCATGATAGTGGGACAAGAGGAAAGTCAAAGGAAGTAGAGCAAAGAGCTAGGAGGCAAAAGGCATTTATAGAAGTCTAAATAAAGGCATGCACAAATGTAAATATATTTATATATGAGGATATGGAAATAGATGTATGTGCATATATGTATAGGTTTAGTCTTAAGGTAACAGATGGAGATTGGGCCTCCACTCAAGTACTCCCTCAATGCAAGAATATTTTCTTCTATCAAACTGGCATTTCATGATGCTCACCTTCCCAACACAATCACTGAAGACAAAGCGGGTTCATAAGCAAACATGGTGAAGAAAGCTGATGGTGCCTGGTTATCAAAAGATATAGCATCTGGTGTATTAAAGACTTGAAGGTAAACAAGCGGCCATCTAGTTCAGAAACAACAAAGCCCACATAGAAGAAGCACACCAGCCTGTGTGATCACGAGGCGTCAAAGGGATCAGGTATCGGGCATCATCGGAACAAAAAATTCTATCATTGTGAACGAGGGGGAGTGCGGAGTGGAGACCCAAAGCCCATCTGTAGGCAATTGGACATTCCCTTGAGGAACAGTCATGGGGAGGAGATGGACCAGTCAGGGTGCAGTGTAGCAATGATGAAACATACAACTTTCCTTTAGTTCCTAAATGCTTCCTCCCCCCCACCCTAACTATCATGATCCCAATTCTACCTTACAAATCTGGCTAGACCAGAGGATGTACACTGGTACAGATAGGAAGTAGAATCACAGGGAATCCAGGATGGATGATCCCTTCAGAACCAGTGGTGAGAGTGGTGATACTGGGAGGGTGCAGGGAGGGTGGGCTGGAAGGGGGGAACCAATTACAAGGATCTACATGTGGCCTCCTCCCTGGGGGATGGACAACAGAAAAGTGGGTGAAGGGAGACATCAGACAGTGTAAGATATCACAAAACAATAATTTATAAATTATCAAGAGTTCATGAGGGAGTGGGGCGTGGGGAGGGATGGGGGGAAATGAGGACCTGATGCCAGGGGCTTAAGTGGAAAGCAAATGTTTTGAGAATGATGAGGGTAATGAATGTACAAATGTGCTTTACACAATGGATTGTGATAAGAGTTGTATGAGCCCCTAATAAAATGATTTTTTAAAAAAAAACAGAACGTGAGAGACCACCCCCACCCCACCCTACCCGAGGGGGACAAACAACAGAAACCGTGGGGGAAGGGAGACAGAGGTCAGTGTAAGATATGAAAATAATAATATATCATTTACAAAGGGGTCACGAGGGTGGAGGGGAGGGAGGGTAAAAAGAGGAGCTGATATCAAGGGCTCCAATAGAAAGCAAATGTTTAGAAAATGATGATGCAAAATATGTACAAATATGCTTGTACTCCCTTAGTGTTTTGCCTCGGTGTGGCGGGATCAGATCAGGTGCAATTCCCACACTGTGTCCCTGGTGTTGTCCCCTGTAGGGCTATGGGTCAGTGAGGGGCGTCATGCCTCATAGTGGGGCCGGCCATGTGGTCCTCTCTGTGGACTGGCTGCTCTAATCGGGAACATCATCCTCAGTCTTGTTTAATTTCTTGCTCGACGGACTGACCAGCCTGCTGGTGGACTGGTTATTTGGACAACATGCACACATAGATATTCTGGGTGTCACAGAGCCCCTTAGGGAGGAAGTTGAGACTTCTGTTTCCTTGCAAGGGCCCACGGCTGTTTGAACAGCTCATGCAGCCTGGAAGCACTCAGTCAGAAGTCCACCGTGAGACGGAACTGGGGCTCTGTGACTTCTGTTAAACACAAAGACTCATGTTTGGAAACATGAGGTAAAAACAACTTGGCAAAGACCTAAGAGTCTTTACTTAAAGAAGAAAGATGGTGTCAGACCCGAATAAATGGCCCCATAAGAGAATAGCCACAGGACGCCAGTGTGGTATTTGTGATTGAAGGGTTGAGGCAGCTTCTAGGGAGGCTCTGGCACTCTCCTGGAAGACAGGCTATCCGTTTTCTCTGGTTGTGATTTGTCACCATCTCCCTGGTGACAGTAGGCAAGCTACTGGATATACTCGTGTATAAGCCGAGTTTTTCAGCACCTTTTTAATGCCGTTTTTGTGGTGGAATTAAGAGCCTTGGCTGATCTTCGGGTCAGCTTCTGCTTGAGTGTACACTTATCCATCTCTATGGTTCTCAGTTTTCTTCTTCTAGATATTCTCAAGAAGCCCTTTCGTCTCTACCTTGGAAGAAAGTCTCTCTCTTTTTTTTTCTTTTTCGTGTTTTGTTCTTCATTTCTTTTTTTTTTCTTTTTAATTTTTTTTTCTCACTTATTTTTTTAAAATTTTATTGGGGCTCCTACAATTCATCACAATACATA